GTTAGTGTCCTCTCAGTTTTATTATATATTTTTAAGTCTGCACATTTGATGGAAATGTTTAAATAAGAAAAATATTATAATTCACTTTTACGATAAAACTAAGGCGACTTTATTAAGCTGAGTCTCAGAGTAACACCACCCTTTCTGAAAAAGCTGGGTTGCTGCATAAAAGGTACCTAAAACAGCATGCAGAGGTCGGCAAATCTCATAAACCCACAGTAGAAGATAGAAAACACATCAAAAGTTTAAAACGAGAAAATTTACCGCTTTAAGATATAATTAGTCGTTTCAAAAAATCTGTGAAAGGATCATGGTTCCTGCTGTGGAGCATCCACTTTACTTTACAACAGAGTGAGTTGCTTCTGATCCCTGTCCTTTAGAGCAAAGGGTCTGGATGTTCCTGGCATGAACTTGGGGAATATCAAGATGTTGGAGACGCCAGAGGACGCCCGGCAAATCCACGCAGCCTGTACGGGCTCCGATGTTGTCCTCGTGGGAACCTCATTTGTTGGTACTGATTACTATGGTTTAGAGCTGGGCGATAGAACGATAATTATATGTATTGCGAAATAACTTTTTCTCGATAGAAAAGTTAAACTATTGTGATAGGCCTCATCTCTCTTGTCCTCTTAAAAAAAAAGAGGAACAGCCAATCCAAATTAACTAGCGCAGAGCCGAACCAATCACAGCCGCAGCGTCACGTCACGTGACTTGTTACGTACAGCACAAGTGCCAAGCCGCACATGTGTATTTGTTTGGAAAGCAGCCAGCTGCCGTGCCGCCCGGGTAATGGAGGAAATGAGTGCGCTGACTAGAGAAAAATCAACCGAGAGCGTGACCGAAGGTTACCGAAGAGAAAACAGACGATGGTTCCAATGCAGGTGTTCTGGGAATCCATCCTACCTGACAAACCATCCTACCTGTTGTTTCTATGCATGCGCACAACACGAAATTCAGTGGCGTCCTACCTTTGTGAATATAAGCTAGAAGCATAATTTTACAGCTAGAATTCAGTGGCAAATCATCTTACCTTTGTTAATAAGAGCTAGAAACATACTCTGACGGGTATAAATACGTGTCAAACCATGCTACCTTTCTGAATGTGACCTACAAGCATACTTTAATGGGTAAAATGAAGTGGCAAACCATCCTGGCTTTATGAATGTGAGCTACAAGCATACTCTGATAGGCAAAGTTAAGTGGCAAACTGTCATACCTACTTACATTTGTGCTGGAATTACTATGACAGCAGAAATGTGCATAAACTACTTACGGTAGGACGTTTTGCCAAAGTAGGACGTTTTGTCAGAACACCGGAGAGATTGTCGAACGGAAGAGCCATAGAAGTTCCGTAGTGTGACGGTATTTCGGCTATTTCAAGTCTGACAAAAAACAGAGTAGCGTGCACTGTTAATTGTGCCGAAAGCAAGTCTGGAAATACAATAAAC